TTCTCTGTTATTGGGGCAGGAGCAATAAAGTGTTGTTACCCTGATTATGTGAATCAAGGACGATGAAACTGTTTTATGACAGAGGATCTCACCATCACCTAAGTAGCACTTGCTAGACAAGGGACATGGGTTCCACAACCCAGTGACTTGAGAGAGGATGGGGATGGGTGTTTGTACCTGATGGTATGGGCCCCCTTTTGAGAGCTGGAAACACCAATTGCACCACCTTTCTTTCTCCACTGTTGAATGTCAGCGGTAGCTTTGATTCCATTAGGAGTCTAGTTACAGGCTGCTGAGCTGAATTCACTTTGGGCTAATGGTGCACCAGCACTGGGGCTCCCCTACTATGAGCTGAAATCATAAAAGAGCTAAAGTTAATAAGAGCTGAGATCACTGAGTGCTGTGTTAACTAGTGGGGGAGCCTGAAGCTATATTGCTAAGCGGCTGGCGGAGCAGTTTGCGGAGACGGCTGGAGGAGCAGCATGGAGCCTTGTGGGGATGGTTGAAGTGGCCCAAGGAATGGCAAGCGGAGCTGTTTGCGGGGACGGCTGGAGTGGCTCACAGGTCGGGGAGCGGAGCAGCTCGTAGAGCAGAGTCCCCCAGGTTGTGGGACAGCAGGAAGTGGACTGGCTCGTGGTGAAGGCTGCGGCGGAACCCCACGGAGAGACAGCCGGTCGGCCTCAGATCACGTAAGGTGCCCCTTAACACCCTGTGTGCCCCCCCTTTACTCTGGGGCTGCACTGACCAGGGACAGAGACTTTGGGGGTTGTTGGACTTTGGGTGGTTGCTGGACCCAAGAGACTTTGGGGGTGTTGGACTTTGGGGACTCTGGGTGATTTTTGGGTTGCTGGATTCAAGAACCAAAGGGAAAGGACACGGTCCAATTTGCTGGGGTGGGTCTTTTGCTCATGGTTTGTGTTAGGAATCCTGTTTGTGGTGTTTTTTCCAATTTAATGCTGATGTCGTTTACCTCATGTTATTAAACATTTTCTGCTACACTCAGACTCCGTGCTTGCGAGAGGGGAAGTATTGCCTCTTAGAGGCACCCAGGGGGTGGTATGTAATTGTCCCAGGTCATTGGGTGGGGGGCTCGAGCCGGTTTTGCATTGCGTTATTGAAACGGAACCCCCTAGATACAGAACGCGGCCCTTGTTGCTGCCAACTTAGATGGGCAGAAGGGTTACATTCCCATAATACAAGAACTAGGGGTCACCAAATGAAATTAATAGGCAGCAGGTTTAAAACAAATACAAGGAAGTTCTTCTTCACGCAGCGCACAGTCAACTTGTGGAACTCCTTACCTGAGGAGGTTGTGAAGGCTAGGACTATAACAGCGTTTAAAAGAGAACTGGATAAATTCATGGTGGTTCAGTCCATTAATGGCTATTAGCCAGGATGGGTAAGGAATGGTGTCCCTAGCCTCTGTTTATCAGAGGATGGAGATGGATGGCAGGAGAGAGATCACTTGATCATTGCCTGTTGGTCCACTCCCTCTGGGGCACCTGGCATTGGCCACTGTCGGTAGACAGGATACTGGGCTAGATGGACCTTTGGTCTGACCCGGTACGGCCGTTCTTATGTTCTTATGTTCTTATGCCTACTCTGTTCTCATATCTACTCTAGCGACACCATCAGAGGATCCAACCACATCAGCCACACCATCAAGGGCTCATTCATCTGCACATCTACTAATATGATATATGCCATCATGTGCCAGCAATGCCCCTCTGCCATGTATATTGGCCAAACGGGACAGTCCCTATGTAAAAGAATAAATGGACACAAAACAAAAGCCAGTAGGAGAATAGTTCAATCTCCCTGGATATTCTGTAAGAGTATCCATACTTCAACAAACTTCAAAAAAAGACTTCAAAGAGAAACTGCAGAGCTACAATTCATTTGCAAATTTAACACCATTAATTCGGGCTTGAATAGGGACTGGGAGTGGCTGGCTCACTACAAAAGCAACTTTTCCTCTCTTGGTATTGACACCTCCTCCTCAATTATTGGGAGTGGACCATATCCACCCTGATTGAATTGGCCCTGACAACACTGCTTCTCCACTTGTAAGGCAACTCCCTTCTCTTCATGTGTCAGTATAATAATGCCTGCATCTGTCATTTTCACTCCACGCATCTGAAGAAGTGGGTTTATTACCCATGAAAGCTTATGCCCAAATAAATCTGTTAGTTGTTAAGGTGCCATCGGACTCCTCGTTGTTTTCCTAAGTGTAGTTCCTCACACTGGTCTTTAATTAATTTCATCTTGTTGATTTTAAACCAATTCTTTCATTTGTCAAAGTCGTTATGAATTCTAATCCTGTCCTCCAAAGTGCTAGGAACCCCTCTCTGCGTGGTGTCATCCACACATTTTAGAAGCACACTCTCCATTCCATTATCCAAGTCTTTAATGACAATACTGAGTGGTACCGGACCCTGGACTGACCCCTGTGGGACCCCACTAGACACGTCTTCCCAGAGTGCAGCAAACTATTGATAACTATCCCCTGGGTATGGGGTTTTCAACCAGTTGTGCACCAGCCTTGCAGTAATTTCATTTAGACCAGTGATTTTCAGCCAGGGGGCCAGGGCCTCCTGGGGGCCGTGAGCAGGTTTCAGGGGGTCCACCAAGCAGGGCCAGTGTGAGACATGCTGGGGCCCAGGGCAGAGGGCTGAAGCCCCACCACATGGGGAAACTGCCCTGCTTGCTACTCCCTTAACGCCAGCCCTGGCTTTTATATGCAGAAAACCAGTTGCTGTGGCACAGGTGGGCTGTGGAGTTTTTACACGATGTTGGGGGTGGGTGGGGCTCAGAAAGGAAAAGGTTGAGACCCCGACGTAGACCACGTTTCCCTAGTTTGCTTATGAGGATGTCAAAGGCCTTACTACAAACAGGATATATCGAGTCTACTGCTTCCCCCCACCCACTAGGCCAGTAACCCTGACTGCTAGACGTGGCTTTTCTTACTGGGGCCTTTAAAATCTCCCCTATTGCGCCTCAAGGAGCCAACAAAGGGCGTCTGGGAGTTCAGAAACGGTTCAATCGCCTGGTGCTGTGCCTGTCGGTGCGGGACGCGAAACGAGATCCAGCACGGTCAGCAGCGGCGCGGAAGGACCCGTGCGATGGATGCTGAGTGCAGGAAATGGGACGTCCGTGCCACAGGTGCGGGTAGCAGAAGCACTGAGGAGAGCGGCACCTGGTGCAACGAAGGCGAGAGCTCCGGGCGTGATGCGTCGGTGCGGCAAACAGTGGTGCCGAAAGCACCCGCAGCAGCACCAGCAGCAATGACTGTGCCGCAAGCAGTGGTGCTGAGAGGCCACCACCAAGTGAAATCCTCTCTGGGCGCCAAGGGATGAGCCAGCAGCTGAACCAAGGACTCAGGACTCCTTCTCTCTGGGCGCCAGAGGGACCAGGGATTGGCCTCGAGCTGCCCTTAAGTGACACAGAAAGAGGTGACGTAGCAGGCACCTGAGGAGGAGATCTACTCCCGTGCTCCTTGGCAGGATGGCGTCCATCACACTCGAGGTCACTAACCGGGGCAGGCACAGCCTTAGAGGCGGAAGAGATGGCTGTCAGGGTACTTTTTACCCAAGGGTGATCGGTCCTAGGAGGATCCTGCATCTCTTCAGGGACTGAGCCTGGCCTCCTAGACTTCTCCAGGAGAAATCCCTTCAGTCTAGTCTCCCTGGATTTCACAGCCCGATTGGGGAGGGTTCTGAAGTCCCTGCACTGCTCTCTAGTGTGTGTCTGTGAACCCAGACAATACAGGCACTTAGAGTGTCTGTCGTTCCGGGCATGGCAGACCCACATGAGGGGCATAATTTTAATCCTGGGGACTAAACCCCCCCGTATGTGGAGAAGACATCAACTGCTCACCTCAGATCCCTACTCTCCCCCCTGTACCAGGATTCGTAGACTCCAAGGCCAGAAGGGACCATTGTGATCATCCAGTCTGACCTCCTGCATAGCACAGGCCAGAGACCTACCCCAAAATAATGCCCAGAGCCGACATGTTAGAAGAACATCCCGTCTTCATTTACACATTGTCAGGGATGGAGAATCCACCACGAACCTCGGTAAAGTGTTTAAAATTTACACCTTATTTCCAGTTTCAATTTGTCTAGCTTCAACTTCCAGCCGTTGGATCGTGTTCGACCTTTCTCTGCTAGACTGGATATTTGTTCCCCGATATTCACAAATTGTAATCAAGTCACCCTTTAACCTTCTCTTTCTTAAGCTAAATGGACTGAGCTGTTTGAGTCTATCACTATAAGGCATCTTGTCTAATCCTTTCACCAGTCTTGGGGCTCTTCTCTGAACCCTCTTCAATTTATCAATATCCTTGTTGAATTGTGGGCACCAGAACTGGACACGGGGTTCCAGCATCAGTTGCACCCCTGCCAAATACAGAGTAGCCGACTCGAGAATCCCCAGTTTATACATCCCCGACTCACATTAGCGCTTTTGGCCACAGCGTCGCACTGGGAGCTCATGTTCAGCTGATTATCCATCATGACCCCCAAGTGTTTTCCAGAGTCCCTGCTTCCCAGGCTAGACTCCCCCACCCCGTACGTATGGCCGACATTCTTTGCTCCGAGGAGAGGGAGTCTATGACTGAAATCCGCCCTAAAACAGGAGAGTTCAGCTAAACTAACTAAGCCACTATCTCCAGTAACAATTATTAACTATCAAAAATTACTATTTACAAAACGTAAAGAGAAAAACTTCAGCAGAGCAGGAGATCGGACGCTCCTGCTGGCTCTGGCTCTCAGCCAGAGGCTGTGAGAAAGAACTGAAGGTTGGCTGGTTGCTCAACCCCCATTGTGCCCTCGGTAAGAGGGGGCTTGAGGACATGGAGAGCGCAGCTAAAGCATCCGACCTCCAGTGCATGGGGCACATGGGCACCAGAAGTGCAGCACATCCAGCAAGCAGTCAACACCAATGGAGGTTACAGTTTGGTACAGACATATCCCACTCTGTCACACCGGTAATCCCGTTACCTTGCCAGTGTAGGGCATTCCAGTCTTGTAGGTAGCGTCAGAGTCCTCAAAGGTCACCATAGGGATTTCAGACACGACGTTGCAGCTCTTGGTCACATTGAGCTCCACCCCTAGCAGGAGAGGGAGGGACGATAGGAGGAAGGTGCTGGGAGCGACACCAGAGTTCAGACTACGTCCCAGGTTTCTCTCCATAACAATCTGCACAGCCATTTCTACCCCCTCTCGCTATGGACTGGAGGGTGTGATTTGGGGGAGAATTTGGGAGGTTCGGCTGGGGTCAGAGAAGGATTTTCCTGGGGAATCTGGAAACTAGAAAATTTAGATCCACCTTCCCCTGGGGCTTAATCCCAAACCAGCCACTTGACATTTGCCAGCAGGGTCTCCTGGCTCTGCGGCCCTTTCCCCAGCACAGAGTTCCTTACTGAACGGCTCCAGAGCTGACCCCGCACACAGGCCTCTCGGCACAGGGCCTGCCCCCAGAAAGGGCCGTTTTCAGAAGTGCCCAGTGACCCGTTGCCGTTCTGGACCCGCTCTCCTCCAGCCACTTCACCATCGCTGATGCCAGCACCCGAGGTTAACGTTGTAGCCACCCCACAGTTACAGTTTTCAGCCAAACGGATGTCGGCCGCTCTGGAAATCAGGATTCTTCTGGGCTAAATGTGGAGTTATCTGGGTTCGTTGCTAAGTGATTAGCACTTGCCGTTTTGAACACTAAGCGCTAACGTCACTGAGGCCGTGACTCAGGGCCCAGCGACACAGGCTGGGCCTTCACTCCGCTCTGCCAGCTCAGTCCACAGGCAGAGGCCACTCGCGGGAGGGTATTTAGTCTTTGCGTGAACGTGCCCAGGTCTGAGCTCCTCATGAGGGATCGATCCCAGTGATGGGCTGAACCAGAACCCCAGATCCAACCCCCCAACGCTACCTCTGGGCCCATCTCTAAAGCAGCTGGGCTACGAATGACATTACCACATGGGCAAGTGAGACCCCTCTGTCCCTGGGGGTTCAGTGCTGGGGGCTGCCTGGGGGCGTGCATGTGTGCTTGATTTCAGACCCACCTGTCCCCTCCTCCACGAGAGACGCCTTGGCCTGGAGGCTCATCCTGTAGCCAGAGTGGGACAGCTTCAAAGGATCCGTCCCCACCTTTCTGGAAAAGCAGCCATTTCTCTTAGTCTGGAGGGAGAGAATCACAGCCCGTTAGCAGCAGCTCTGCACCAGGCCCTGCAGGTGTCAGCTCAGCAGGTCTCTAATCGGGCTTGGCCTGGTTAGTGCTGACCCGGGAGACACTCAAAGAAAACCTGGGGGCTGAAGTCAGCAGCAGGGGGCGCTCTCACCTTGGAGTCAGCCCTGACACCAGTACCCCAGCACAGCACTAGGGGGCGCTGTGCAGCTGGAGCTGCTGTGGGTGGGATGAGACGTAAAACAGGCCCTGGCCACTCGTGCCCATCACAGATCCCCTGGTGCTTGTCCCCCATCGTCGTGGTAACGCTGGCTAATTCCAGTTACCCCTCTAGCCCCCCAGGGACTGAGAGCATTCGGGGAGATCTGTATCTTCCATTGCCCCTGCCTAATGAGAGCTGCTGATGAGGAAGGGCGGCCCCGTAACCTGGGGCACTAGCCTAGGTCTGGAGAGACCTGGGGGCAAGTCCCTGCTCTGCCACAGGCTGCAGGCAAGTCCCTCTGAGTACGGCTCCAGCAGAAACCCCCTGCGGCCGTGAGTCTCAGAGTCCAGCCCTGCTGACCCCGCTTGTGCTGCGGGGCTAAAACCAGCAGGTCGATGGTCGGATCCAGGTGCTAGACCCGGGGAGGGGGGAGGGTCTCGGAGCCCAGGCTCCAGCCGAGCGTCTACACTGTTCCTTTAGCTCCGCAGCGCAAGCCCCAGGCAGCAGAGCTGGGCTCGGAGACGCTGCCGCAGGGTTCTTGCTGCGCAGACGGACCCTGAGCATCTCTGTGCCTCAGTCAGGGCCGGCTCCAGCATTTCTGCCGCCCCAAGCAAAAAAAAAACAAAACAAAAAAAAAGCCGCGATCGGCGGCAGCAGTTCAGCGGCAGGTCCTTCGCTCCTAGAGGGAGTGAGGGACCTGCCGCCCCTGAATTGCCGCAGGTGCCGCCCCTCTCCCTTGGCCGCCCCAAGCACCTGCTTGTTAAGCTGGTGCCTGGAGCCGGCCCTGGCCTCAGTTCCCCATCTGTACAATGGGGACAGGAGCCTGCCCCGCATCCCGGGGGCTAGGAGGATCAGTGAGGCACTGAGATATTGTGGTGAGCGGGGGGCGGGGGGTATGTAAGTCCCTAAGCCCTGCTACACAGCTGCCAGTCCCCACCCCCAGCCTGCCAGATGGGGACCCTGACGGAGCCAGGGCCTGATTCGCCTGCACTTACACCAGCTTTACACCAATGTCA